GTAACTCTTAATTATATAATTAGAAACCCCTGTTTTGAATTGGTTTCTAAATCCATCGCTATCCTTCCCCCCTCCCATAGCGACAATTTTCGCGGTTTTTGATGTCATCTCCCGCATTCCGACCTCATGCGGTCTGTCGACACTCACGGCGGAACCCTCAGTCTTCACTGTTTACTAGTAGTTCGGTCGTACCTCCCTTCCTCACTGCTCGGCTGAGCTCGAAGCGTGCTGTGGCCGATCGCATCTCGGTTCCTCTCGTCTGGCCTCTTTGACGCGGCGTACCAATCAGGCCCAGACGATCTCAATTGTGAATCCCGTATACAATGCCATTTGCAAGCCAGTCCTGTCTGACCCACATTCGTACCCATCAAGGCTGACATTTATTGCTACCCTGACGATGACCGACAACATTCCGTTATATACCGCCACCTACAGGCCAGTCCTGCTCGCTTTTTTCTGTTATTATTTTTAAAGAGGGGTTTTTTTCTCCTGTAAAATTAATCCAATCATTTTTAACTTTTTCTTAGGAGTTTTTTTTTCACCTCTCAATCATCATGTTTCTCAATGGACTTCTAATTTAGAAACTAGGAATTGCATTTTGTAAAGATTCGGCCTACCTCGTCTAAAACTCGCATGCAAATTTATTTTAACTTGCTTTGATGGGACCCCGACGGGTCTTTAATAAAAATTATCTATCTATCTATCTATTTGGGGCTGGAGGTAGGATTGGGAATCTTAATGCGTTATGACTGAGCGCCCAGGTAAGAAGATATCAGATTCAAAAGTCAACCACTAATTCTGAAAGAGGAGAATTTCACTAGAAGTAGAGCATGGTCAACATCATCAAAAGCCTTAGTGAAATCTAAATAAACTATGTAAATATCGAAGCCACTGCCCTTAAATTGACGAACGTGGTCAAAGAAAGAGATCCGTCAGGGCGTCACGATAATGGCTTTGAACAGAACGCATTAGGTTAATCTTAGATAATGACATTATCTTATCTTTGATCAAGGTGCTTAACATTTTCAGAACTGCTGGTAGGGTGTTTATTGACCAAAAGCTGCCAAATGACTTAGATTGGTCGTACATGGGGGACAGACAGAAAATGTGATTCTTTCTACAAAGTGAGATAGTTTTTACGTTTGAAAGCGAGATTAAATATATAATACAAGAGTGAAGGCAAAATTCTACTTGTATCCCTTTGAAAATGCTCACCAGAGCGCCATCAAGTCGAAAGCTATGAGATAGACCAAAACACCGAATCGCTGCAGTCCCGTCTCAATGGATAAAAGTTATAGTTCCGAGAACGACATTGGCTTAAACACGGATGTTCCAAAGTGGAGACGACCCCTTTTTAGTAAACGTTTTGAACAAGCAAGAATTGAAACTGTCCGCTATCGACTTGGAGTCTGCTGTGGACTTACCAAGAGCGTATCGGAGGGAGGAATGCTATGTTTTTCTATGAGCTCTTACCGTTCAAGAAAAGAAGTTTCGGGACATATAGCTAGCGATTTTCAGCAAAGCGGACCTCTCCGGGTAGTCGTTTTCCTTCGGACAGTCTCTCCACCCGCTCAAAAATATGCCAAATCGCGGACAGAATGGAAACACAGTTTTGCAGACAAAGTCGATGAGAGAATCTATTCAACCTACGGCGAAAGGATATAGAATGGAAAAACTTACTGTGCTATCAACTATTTGGCTCCCAGGAACAGAACGAGAAGCAAACGTGTCCAAAGTTCCGTACAGCTTATCTGTGAAAACATTCCGATCCGGACTGGGGAGACAATCATCCCAGTTGCAAGAATTCAGATTTGTCAATAATTCGGCCGGACGAACAGATCGGAAAGCGAAGAAGACAATAAATTTTGAGGACAAAGTTTTGTCAACTTCGAGTTCTAAAGTAGAAAAAACTGCGTCGTTGTCTGGACCGCAAGTGGGCCTGAAGACGACACTAACAATGTCGAGCAACCTCTACAGGAAACTAAATCAAGTACGAGAAAATCAACAACGTTATTCCACATGCCAAAACCCACAGCCTTAAGTGGATCACCAAACTTTTTGTGACTGGAAGCCGGAAACCAGCGGACTCCAGGGAGATTGAAGTCACCCGCAAGCAAGTAATGTTTTAAGTTTAAGTCGGCCACGACAAGAGATACCTGTGAGAAACGAAGACCAAAATACTCACTGGCGTTGGGAAGGCAGTAGACACAGCTGAAGAGTAAAAACTACTTCTTTTAAAGTAACTTGGAGCCAGCAGTCACCTTCTACCGCAAAAAATACGGAAGGTCCAGCGGCAGAATTGCAAGTGTTCGCTTAAAACAGGGACAATGTTCCCCACCAGGGCTGTCTTGGCGGTCATCTCAGACTCAAAGATAACCTAGAAGAGAGAAATGGTTGCCAGCTACGGAAGGTGCTGCCCATGTCTCATTTACTAAGACAGCATCTAGACAGTGGATGGACACTAGTGTTTGAAGCAAAAACATTTTATTTAACAAGGGTCTGGCATTTAGAACGAAGTTTAAGGGGGCAGACTGTTTGTTTCTGAGGTAGGTGGGGTACGTCATCCAGTTGTTGACAGTCCACGGAACATAGAGGTCGTATGCTCCTGATCGGTTCTGTAAAATGTTCTGCGGCATCGAAGGCCTTCGATGTGAATAAAGGGGAGCAGAAAATGGGGAAGGAAATAATAGTGAAACAGATCGCCACCGCTAGTTACAGAAACTCCATGAGCGGAATACTGCAACGTATTCCCACTAAGGCGACATTTAAGGCCGGGTGTGTTAACTGGCCCAGTGTGAACATTTGTTGCAGTCCGCGCCTCCTTGTTCTCCGCTGCACTGTCACGCTGCCCTCCTGTCCGCCTCAAACTCCCTGTCTAGTCGCCGCCGGGACGCGCGAGGCTTTTCGCTAGCCTCGCGAGAACTCCAGGCCAGTCAGCGCTGCCTATTCTCTGATTGGCTGACGACACTGAGGCGGAGCGAAAGGCACACATGCGTTGGGGTCTAAGCACATCAACGATGGATACAGACAACACAACTTACCCGGATAAACCGCTCGCGGCGACTGCTTGCAAAGCTCATGTACATACACTTTCTCAGCAGTAAAAGCTGACCAACCTGATCCGTCTTCCCTGACTTCTGATTTGCGAGCCTCTGTCTTGTCGAATACATCATCGCGACACATTTGTATGAGGGTTCCATTGGTAAAGCGACTGTAGAGGAAGCATGTTGGAGGGTGGTGGGGCACTGCTTAGCTTGGGGCGGGAATCCCAATCACGAAAGGGAATAATGGGATATTCGGTTTAAATGCTTCGATATAAGTTCTAGGTGACTTTTGGAAATACCTTTTTGGGGAGGAGGGTCGTGGAGCATAGTCGAGTGATATACGAATGTAAAGGGGAAGTTTTAGAGAAAATGAATTTCTTTGGTGTTCGGGTGGCTGAAACTGCACTCGGACTCATTTTTAAATTAGGCTTCTACTTTGATTTACCAGGGGGTACTATTAGGGTGGGCAAGAGTATGTATATCAGAGACGTTTTATTGTGTTGAAAGACATCAAGATCAACAGTGGACGAGTCCCCTACGGAATTAACTCTGTTGTGAGGTAGCGAGGTCGCAAATAATGTCAAATAAGATTTGTTCAACATGACAGCAGGGGTTGTCACTTCGGTTTTGGTTGTCGCAATTTCAAGTTGTTCACTCTTCTTTGCGTTGATGTGAGGACTGGGAAAACGCCACAATATCATTTACGGCAGAATTCTTTCATTATCCCCTTCTCCCCACAAGATATACTCCACTTCTATCAAGTAGGAGAGAGTTACTAGTATCACGCATTACAGCTGAGCAAGCGCAGTCGTTTACTTTAGGCAACTCTAAAACCCAAGCCACAACTTTGCACCAACAAATACGAACCTGCAGTGGCAAATATGCGATTGGGAATGCTATGTAGTATGAAATCATGCTTACATTTTCTCATCTCCTAAGCTTAGGAGCTTATTATCCCAATAACTTTAGAAGATCGTTCATTAACTCTCTCGTAAATTGTGCTTATATCGCCACGTATCACCTGAGTTTAGGAATACGATTAGTTTAGTTGTCTTAAAATCAGGATCAGTCATATAAAAGGTGGTCCAGCGGAGAACTGTGGCCTTTGAGCTTGATCCGGGTGGGTTGTTCGCCACTGAATCCTAGACCCAGGCTTTAATTTTACATTGGGCTTTCGCTATGTACGACCTCAGGATATTCCGGCAAGACGGTGTCAACTAAAATAGCGGTGGTCGCCGACCTTATATTAAGGACAATCTCGCATACTCGCCTCATGACCTGAGCACCTCATAATTTTTCTGAAACTATGGGCCTCGTTTCAGTCCCTCCCCTGCACATTGTGAAGACAGTTTCCATTATATAACGCCCAAGATCTTCAGGCTTGTTTTATGTGCTCCGGGTGAGGCCTTACACATGTTTCGAGGATGTTGGGAAAAAAGATTCATTAAAATTCCAGAAGTCCTTCTCTATGACATGAAGTAGGACATTGCAATTTTTGTCACCTATGAACAGTACATATGCGGCTTTAATGGGCCTGATATAAAACCACTGAAATTTTTTGTGTCATCTACGTCTCGTCAAGCCATTTTCCTTAAATGTTTAGGAGCGAAGATAATACTGGCTTTAGTTGAATTTTAAAAAAATCGGCATCCTGTTATGTGCCTACTGAGATATGTGCACTTTCAGTATAATTGGCCGAAATCCCTCGTACAGATGAATTAAAGGCCATAGATCATTCTAGCCTGAACAATATTTTAAATTTGGCGCTTCCTCAAGGTCATCGCTTTTACGCAGGTTCTGCGCGCACGAAACTGAACATGTGGGGCCTATCATCTGTTTATTTTTGGAGCCGTATACTTTCCTAACCCTTTGGCTTCCACGGCCACTCTAATCCTGAACAGCTACTTTGTTTGCTAGTTCGGCTGATAGGCTGTGAGCAAGGCACCCGTTTGAAGGATGGACGTCGATGAACGCGTATTCAGCCTTCCCTTCGGTCCCGTCGGCGGCGTTAAGAGACTTTTTATTAATCAGCAGATGATTACGAGTTTTGTGTTCTGCGTCGTTGTGCACCACGTTATTTCTCCGTTCGCATTTGGGCGCTGCAATGCGATCTACCGTAGTCTAAGCAAGAACCGTCGGATGGAATGGGATTCAAGGTACACCTTAGCCACATGCCGTCTAGTTTTACATCTCTCAACTGCTAACGCCCAACAGTTCGGGCATTCTCCCACACAGTTACATATTTAGGCTTGCCCCAGTTTGCCTTTTGTTTCGATTCGTATTCACTCGAATCACCTTTAGCATCTGAATGCGAACATATACTGTAGTTGGCTTTGGAAAGCTGTTTTTTTCGTGTACTCAGTCCTAATTTCATTTTTAGAGTTGAAACACACCGAGTTTATGACACCTTTGCAGGCTATGCAACTGTCTAATGGACTTTATGCACCGCTGCCCACAAATGACGATGATGAATGTCGGCACTTTTAAAAAGTTCGCTTCCGTCCGTGTCTGCAATCGTCGGAAGTTTGTGATCGAAAATACCTTACCTATCTTTGCCCTCTTCGGCGACCATACGCACAATGCTTAATTGAGTTTTGCGTAGTGTTGACTTCAGAAGCCCCGTGTCTTCCTCAAATTAGGGTTCTCACCGACGCCAAAACCGAAGAAAGCGCGCCGTCAGCTTGTCCTGTTTTCACTGTCCATCGATTATCAAATGAAGTGAGATAGTAGTCAGTGAAGGTTAGTACTTAGTTGTCCTCCGGACAATTAGTATTGACTATTAGACCGGTCTTCTCCTCACTAGTCCCACAGGGTCCATCCCATAGGCGAAATCAGACGCATATACTGGTCGCGACTAACAGCGGTTTGGTCAGTATTGCCCATGGACGACCTCAGCCACTGACAAAAATCGATGCTCCTGATAAATGTCGATGTCCGCTGCGTTGCTGCCAACTACGTCTGAGAGTCACTGAGCTCCTCTCAACTTATCGTAACCCGTGGTTTGGCATGGTAGGTATCAAGTTTCTTCGGCAAATTTGGGTTCCAGTTGCCTACCTGCTCATTCGATCATTTGAAGCATCGCACAAAGTCTAAAGCAGCTATTCAACATTAGCAGACACCTTACGCTGTTAACAACTAAACTGACAGACCCCTTCGAATCTACATTGGCGAAGAATGACTGTCATTAGTAGTAGTGGTGACGTTTATGGCTATCGCGTTTGAGCTGACGATTTCGACTCATGACATGCGTTAATCCGCATGCAGTGGTTTCACTTGGGTTCCTAACTATTTTTTTTATCTCTGTCATGCATTAGACAGTTGCCCGACTTTGTCGGTCGTTGCGCCTACTCCCGTCCACGCTTTTTTGACTCTGCAAAGCAACTGGGACATTGTGGGAGTCGAGTCGATTTAGGCCAAGTCAGGCGCTTAGTTCCTTCATGATAAACATTCAAGCACGCTTTAGGACTACCACCACGCACTAACGGTCGTTAATTGACAAGTTTCTAGCTGGTTTAGGACTGAGGATCAGGCTGCAACACCCTCCTAATGTAGCAATGGTTTGAATTATGCGTAGTCCGAGACCTCATTGGTAGGTGTGAAACCATGAGCCACAACATGCGTCCATGCGTTATGTCGGCCGCTGACCTCCCCGCGCATCTCCAGTAGTCTTTACTTTGCCTCGCCACCAGAACACACCGGGTGTGGGAAGACTGAAATGGAGTGGACACGACTTAAATCTAATCCACTGTAAACAGATGTTAACGCAGCTCATCACTGTGTTCTGTCCGAGAAAGTGGTGGACTTTGCCGCTCTTAACGGTCAAGCTTTTTATAGAGTTTAACCACGCGCTTCAGTCATATGCCTATATCCTTACCTGCAGCCTGTACTTTCCAGTTTGCAGGATGTTGCCAATTTTATTTCGGTATGCTGTATAACCGGCCTCATATCCCCGGTGTTTTCACAGGCCTTGCCTTTCGTCTTGTGGGTGGAGCCATTGGTCGGAAAACTATATCCTTAGCTGTTTTTAACGGTCGGGATATGCCGTAACAGCAGGTTCGGGGGACTGCTGAACATAGTCTCGTTTGGATTTGCGAAAACATCCGGGCTAATTAATTTGATCGTCAGTTAGAGTCTGGCCTGTCTCTGTTATTCCCCCTTGTCATGGCGTCGACTCCGGACGAGTATATATCCTCGTTCCATGCCTTTTGACTGCAATGGTAACTTCCTTGCCATAAAGAGCGGATTAAGCATTAGATACTTTGACTTTCAGTTTATGTTACATCAAATTTGTTGGACGGTGTTGCCAATAACATTTCCGATCTGTCTTTTCTCAACTTTATGAGATGCAGATGAATGCAGAGCATGCGGATTTAGCATTCCGCGGAAAGTTTACTTGTCATCACGTTTGTCCTATTGAAAAACGATTAGGGAACCTGATAGATCAAGTGTAGACGGTGGTGAGGTCGGGATTTATCGGCGCACTCCATGGCTGTCAGTAATCTTCCAAGGTACTAAGTCTGGTAGTATGCAATGCAAAAAAGAAGTCACCGTGCTCACTCTTATGTTTAAAATTCCTTATCGACAAAGTCGAGGCGGAACTGAAGCACCTGGTCATAATTGTCACCACGCCGATTATGAACTCCCAGCGATCCGTTGTCCTTTCAGACAAAAGACGATCAGCCTGAGATTTAGTCTCCGCGTCAAGCATCACGGAAGGCGTCCGACAGTGGCATCGGTAGCGATTCGAACAGTTTGGAAGCCTCTGGTATCTACAATTTGAATCCGTGTGGACCGTTTTCTTTCATGCATTTATTTTCTCGCCTTTTCAGGGTTGTTTCAAGTATCCACGCGACTGTTGTCAGCGTCCTCTGCCTCCTTTCCCTCGTCAAAGAAAGGGAGCTTTGGCAAAACCCATTCTTGTACGTTTGTATCCCCTTGTTGGTTATGAGACGTCATCTTTTAACAGCTAATCTAGCTTACAGCGATTCATAGCAGGATTTTTTAGCACCCTTCCTCAGTGTGTCTGTCTTGTCCGGTTGCGTCAATTCTTGTATCTACTTTCCGGCAGACATATAAGATGACTACTTCATGGATTACCTCGCTAAGTCGGAATTTTTGGGGTTGGTTTGGATTTAGTGACTGCCCCGTGCGTAATCCCGCCGTTTGTAAATTCTCAAGTAATCTTGACTTCGTTAGTGGGAATGTTTACAACCCATCTCCTCTCGTGATCGCTCTAGCGCCAAATGTCACTTCTAATGCTATTCACTGCAGCCAGTGAGTTTTTTTACGGTCAGCCTGCATTAATTCTAGACCACTTGTCATTCATTGGTGACATTTCAGTCAAGTCTTTACCGCTCTTCAATTCCTATGATTTAGGGTAACCGCTCGAACTGTTGTGCTATGGGAGAAATTTCTTGTTTCCATCAGATTTCGCTAAGAACGCTGATGTAAAGGCAACTTTTCACAACATCTAAACTCATTCGAAAACCGTCTTGGACAACCTGATATTTCTCCTTTCACTGCCGCACCTGGTTTTCGTTTTCCACCTTTGAATACATCTCTGTTCCGTTTTTTCGCGTTAGCGGTTTATGTACTGTTCCGAAGTCGACTTTTTCATGTTTACCTACCGCATCGAATCTTGGTTGAGGTTCGTGTATTAAATCCCTTTCCGTCCTTGGCTGTTTGAAATTTTCTGCAGTTCCAGTGATCACAAGGGGTCTTAGAGCGCCTAACTGTTCCATGACCGTAAAAACTGGCACCCAATATCTGTTTATGCTTGCATCCCTCTCAATGCCGTCTACATAACATCCATCAAAATTCACCTCGGTTGTCTTGATGCGCGTTTCCGGCCTGTCGCTTGTGTACCACACGTTTTATGGCAACTACATCCGCAATGTCGACGCACCTGGGTAACTGGCAACCGGTTGAACTTCGCGCACCTAGGCCGGGTGTCGAAAGTATCGCGTCTCATGGGTAGGCGTCTGCATTCGTCTTCATTTTTTGCTAACGCCACTGCGCATGATGGACCAAACCCTCACCTAAAAAGTGATCGTTATTCCGCGAGGCCGCAGAAGTGCAGCCGAACTTACACACCCAATCTTAGTTCATATGTCCTCTGAATCCGTAGTAAATTTTCAAGTTTCGGATTTTGGCGACGTAAAGCATGGCCAACCTCGAGCGGCGGGTTTAGATTATTTGTTACCTTCCTGTATAGTACGATCCTCTTTTTATCTTAAAATTCCTGGTTACTAGTTTTCAAGAGGGCTTTGTACTTCTGTTTAAATGAGTACTCCGCTGTGACCGAGGAGTATTAAAATCGTTAAGACAGTGTAGATAGCAATTTGCGCGTTCAGTCCGGCTTGGCCTTAATTGAAATGTGTCGGTTTTTGGCTGTACTTTTTTCGATCAGCTAACCTTTGCAAAAAAGGCTTGCGTCCGGTACTTACTGAAATGTTGAGAGAACCACTTTCCACTCTTTGTTTTCCGTGGACCAATCCTCCAGAGAATGCTCGAATTCTTCCGGTGTGTCTGATGTGCACTCATGCATTCATAGGATATGGGGACATTGTTTCGCCAATTCTTAAACTGTCCAACAAGCAGCTGGCTTACTTTGGAGTTGAAGGTTTCTTTGTCGTCCCAAGTGAAGGGTCTGTGTTGGATATAGGGTGCCGGCTCTCGTTCCGTAGGTTGGGCTATAGACAATACCTCCAACCTCCCGCATCCATACATTGTTTTTAGAGATGTATTGTGGATGTTGCTGCAGTGCGCGCAATCTCATCTGATTTGCCTGTACTCCACTCGGTAAAAAATGTCTCTTTCCGTCTCCCCACTTGTTATTTCCTACCCGCCTTTGCTTTTGTTTATCATTGTTAGTGCTAGGTGGGGTTAACTTCCTTTCAACTTCAGATAAATAGCCTCTTCCGTGATTAACGTTGGCCCTTCGGTACTACATGTGCTCGTGCTTCCACTTGTCATTTTAGTGCGACGGGGGACATTGCCCTACACGCTCTGTCCATTTCAATTGGATACTTCATGTGTGGTAAGCAGGTTTTTAGTGCGTATTTTGTCGTAATTTTAACATTCGGAGCTCAACATCTGCCCATTCTTTATCTATACCAGCCTTTTCACATATGAACAGGAAAGTGGCCCTGTTTTTAAGCTCGCCAAGCCACCGCACGCCTTTGGTTATTGAAAGACCAAATCCCTCAGCCAGAAAAGCCTACCCAGCTGTTTTTCGAATGAATTAAGGAAGGAATGTTGATCCCCTATTACACTTAAAACTAAGCTGCTGAACAGTTCTGCCAAAGTCGAATACCAACAGGTTTTACTTTATTTTTTCGCTACCAAGATAGATGAACTGGAGTAACTTTCTCCAGCAATTCAGCGAGTTCCGGGCGTCCGTACAATCGCCTCAAAAGTTCTTTACACATGAGGAAGGAAGTAGAGTTTCTGGGACTCAATTTCTTCATTGGGCCTGGCGTTTATGTGACTGCCCTTGGCGTCTGCGGCATTTTTTTCAAAAAGCTGACTAGATATCTGTTTAACCAGAATAACCGGAATAAATGAACCAGTGCCCTCCCAAGCAGATCTTGTTTGCTGTAGTACCAAAAGACTTGATGAAAAAGAAGTTCAGACACAACATCATTTGTGAGGTACAAGATGATTGTCTTCGCACTTGAGGATGGTTTCGGCACCAATGCCTTTTCTGTAGGCCTTGTGAGGTTGCCATCACTCAGTTTTTGTTCGGTCATACAGGAATAAGCGCTCACCTCTCCACTGGCCTTCTGAAGCCCCGAGTGTATAGGAGGAGTCACTAAAAGACAATTGCCTGCCAGACCGAACTCAACTAAGATTTGATGACGACTGAAGCTGCCAGGTGGTTAGGTATTAAGGAATTTCAGTTCGATGAGATACCTTTCACAAACCAAATCTGGAGGCCTTATGTGGGAGCGCACGTTCATGTTCCTGATTCCCGCTGGTGATCAGAGTTACTGTTGGCCGAATGAGGACAGAACAGGCCTCAAACGCGCTGTTTTTGCCCCTATATCCGTCTGTATGTAGGTAGTTGACCGTTCGCCGTTGTGCCATTCTTTCGGACTTTCATCTGCGAAACCAGTGTGCGCCTGTTTCCCTATAATGTATTTATGTTCACTCAGGAATGGGAGCACATTGATCCATTGACTTCCCGAAGCAAACAAGCTTCGTATGGGTGATAGGAGTCACGAACAGGCAAACACCTACCAGGCCGAAGTCGGCCAAGCCATGAAAGCAGGAGGGAGACGACAGTCTCGGGGTAGATTGATACAGAACTGTTTCGGGCTTGTTTGCCCTCATTCGGTCAATCATAACGCTGGCCACCAGCTGGGACCGGAAACACAAACATACGCTCACACATCTGGCGCAACTGGTCCGCCATTTGGGTCTACCAGATGGATCATAAGCACTTCGTCGAACCGAAGCTCATCAGGGTCTCGCCACCTGCCATTCCCTGTTGCTGCAAATTGAGTATTTATTCCCTCAGAAATGGGCGCACTCCGATCCATTGGGTTCCCGAAGAAATTGAATAAATACTCGATCTGCAGTGACAGAATGGCAGGTGGCGAGACACCGATGAACTCCGGTTCGCACTGAATCCAGTAGATGACGTTCGTGGTTTCACCTCATGGCAGAGTAGCCTTTAGGTCTCATGACCAGATGTCGAATTGTTGACTCCGGTCTGCGGGCGATGCCGATCCCCAGCGGTCTTAAGAGACGGGAGACCGCCTCAGAAGCGCCGTCGATGTATGGAAGCGCCCGCTATATTTTTGGCCGTTCTGTCACCAAACGTCGGCTTGGTCCGGCCTGTCTGCTGCGTTCGATGAAGTTGCGAGGATACCCGTTGGCCATTAAGAGACGCTGGAGGTAGCGTAGTTCTGACCTTCTGTCGTCTGGCTCGCTGCAGTGTGTTTCTGCCCTTCTGTAGAGTGTTCGCACACAACTACGCTTGTGACCTAAGGGGTGCTTACTGTGGTAGCTCAGGATTTGATGTGAATTGGTGGTCCTTGTATATACCGTCGTTTTTAGGTGTCCATTGGGTTTTCGATGGACGAGAACGTCCATGAACGGCAGTTGGTTGTTGATTTCCGCCTTCATTGTGAACCGGATGTCAGGGAGAACAGAGTTCAGGACATCATGGAATTCTTGAACCATTTTCCGCTTAATCATAACGAAAGTATCATCGACCATTTCTGGCTTGTCAGCTGTCACCAGCTAGCTATACCGAACCCCAGGTTTTCCGCACGTGAGATTCGAACCGGGGATCTTTAACAATTGGGTTGACGCTGTAGCACTGGACCACGAACCTGTTGTCTCGTCGGTTGCGATTTGGAATGTTACCTATGTTGGTATTGTGTTCACCGATCGGGTCACCAAGCATGCTCACCTCATCGTGTCTTTAGAACCTACGAAGGCAATCGCATAGTGACCCAGAATGTATGCTGAACGGAATACCAACAAAGGCACGTGAGACTGGAATGACAATTTCTGACTTGTCAGCCGTCATCAGTTGGCCACGCCCAACCCCAGGTTTGCAGCGCGCACTCCTTATGTGGGTGTCAGGTTCTGGTCACTGAATGTTTCCGGTCTTCGGTTTACTGCACAATGGCCTTCCAAGGTCTGAGTAACGGCACCTATGCAAACCCACACAAGTGCGTTTTCGTGAGAAATGGCAGAACCAGGCCGTTTTTCCTACTCCATTTTTATTGTAGGCCTTGCATTCACAGCACACCTTCAAAAATGAGCGTTTTCGTAAACACGGGCAGTTAATGGTGTACATCGTTCCTGACCGTGTGGATATTTACCTAATGGGCTTACTTCCTCGACCCGCACCAGGTCCTTTTGTGCTTAACTAAAACATTGCCTTGTCTAATTTCCGAGGAAATGAATGCGCGAGCTTGGAGTAAATTCTTCGGAACAGACCTTTTCAGACACCTTTCGAAAGCTCTTATGAATATTTGAGCTGAATCCCATCAGCTACTGTGGAATAACTGTGTAATATTCACAAACCGCCAACAGGCAGCCAGTAGTATAGAACTGTGCATTGATTTACCGTACTATAACAACACAGGTAAAAGCTCAGACGCGTGTTTCGCCGACCTTATGCCGCTGCCTGACGTCGCTGCGAGGGGTTCGGCTCGTCAATGGGTCCCCCAGCTTCCCCGGTGTGTTTTCTGGTATACGAACTCCAGTCCTACCTGGCCCTGTTTAATTTCCGAAGAAATTAATGTGCGAACTTGGGGTAAATTTTTCAGAGCAGACCTTTTTTGCCGGTTTGTAAATATTACGCGGTTATTTTGCAGTACCTGATGGATTTCAGATCAAATATTCATATCAACGGTTGGACCGTGCCTGAAAAGGCCTGTTTTGAAAGAGTTACTTCAAGTTCGCGTATTCATTTCCTCAGAAATTAAACAAGGCAAGCTGAAACTGGAGTTCATATAGCAGAAAACACACGGGGAAGGCTGGGGGACCCACTGATGAGCCGAACTCCTCGCAGCTGCGTCATGCAGCGACGCAAGATTGGCGAACCACGCGTGTCTGAGGCTTTAGCCTGTAAATAATTACACAGTATTATCTACAACAGTCATTAGTGTTCATGGCTCACAGCCCAGGCAATTTATTTGCCGGGTTTATGTCCCGAGCAAATTCTGCACCAATTACGGGCTGTTGGCTCACGATGGGTACAGTCAGTTATCTTAAAGAAGGAGACACGATCACTGGAACAAGTTTATTGGCCTGACGTTTCGGATTCCTGCTCGAACCCATCATCACAGACAAAAGCAGACCCGTATCTGCTTTTGTATCCGATGATGGGTTCGAGCAGGAATCCGAAACGTCAGGCTAATAAAGCTCTTGTCCCAGCGATCGTGTCCCCTTCTTCAAGACTGCCTCCTGGGACTCGTCTCTTCGCTTCTATTGACGGTCAGTTATGTTTTCCCTCCTCAGATCAGAAGCATTGAAAGTCTATGCAAAAGGGCACTGGACCACTGTGGTCACTGTATGAAAGGAATTGATTAGTTATTTTTTCGATCGATATCGGCTTGGAGGATCCTCTATCGAGCGTCATCATGTCACGCTTCATGACTGAATTTGTATTTTGTGCAGCGTGATATCAGGGACCATTAGCACATATTCCCAGCAAATGCTGCTGGCTGACTTTCGTCTAACAAATTGATTATCTGATCTTACATATGGACCCACTTATTTTTTCATTTTTTTCTACTCTTAGGAGTCAGCCACAGAATCATCCCACAGAAGTTAAAGATCCTCTTAGGGCCTATGTGGTTTCCTACGTTTAAATTCTATGGACTAGCTAAATAAACTACAGACAAATAAACTCGATATATCCAGGGAGCAGATAAATGTGACTGCCTGTAATGCCTTTTTAAGTCTAACTTTGCACCTGATTTTCGCGAAAGACAAGGCAGACAAATCTGCTTGTAGTTGCTGCACAATGTGTTCACACAGTAACTGAAACGTCCTCAGATTAACATTATGTCTGTGCGTCCAACTACCTTAACTTTTGAACTACCCTCCTACAGCCGGTTTTGTGTGCTGTTGGTGGGAATTCTGTCTGACTCTAACCATGCCGACACGCAAGCTGGATTGCTTCTTCCCATTGATGCTCATTGACCTCAATATAGTCGCCAACTCCTTTCCCCTTTTTTTGCTCCCATAGATTTGCTGTCAATGCCCATCTACTATAGAGGCAAAAATCTGGTCATCTTCATTGTGCATCACTTAGCTGCCCTGATAGCGTTCTACCTCATTTATGTGAGTTAACTGTTGCTCCCTTACTCCCGTCCCCGTCCCTTGTTACTCCACGCCTACTTTTTCTTTAACATGCGGTTGAAAACTTCTCTTGCTACGTCCGCACTCTGTTGCTTCCACGGTGTGGTGATTCATTAGCCCTCTTTTTGTTTATAATCGGGGTTCATCGTAAACGACAGGACAACCACTATGCGAGGGACACAGTTTTGATTTGCGCGTAAGACAGCCGTTAGCCTCGTCTATTTCCTTTACCATTTATTCCGTTTCAACGTCAAGACAAAATTCAGATGACCAGAGATTAGTGTTGATAGAGCCATCGTCCTGGCGTAAAGTCTCTGTTTGCGCGTGCCGCACATGCGACAGGTTGGCTTGCGAACGACGATGTCTAGCACGTGTGCCACAGCATGGTGGGTGCAGGACGCTGACTAACACCTGAATGAGTTTATCGTGGTAGCAGACTTGCGCACCATCTGTCATACCCATTTCTCGCTTACCTGAGCGAGGTGAGAAGAGAGGGTTAGGATGACCGGGGCGAACTCGGGCGCAGCGGCTGACAAAGTTAAACAGTCCGTCTGCGCTTACCACGAACGACCTGATCTCTGCACAATATATCATGTTTTCATAAAAGAAGGGGGCGGTTATGGTGCCATAGGAGTGTCATAGAGGTCACACCATGAAGGAGCCATCGAACATTACTTTCAGTCCACGTACGCACAATACTGCCTACGAGGATCGCGTTATCTCGTCAATTGACAGTCTTCCAAACCACGACTTTTGGTGTGTCATGATGGTTTTAAAGTACGTCAAATTTATTGTAGTGAGGAATGCGTTAAAGTGCCGTGGGGATGGAACTTCAGAGTCGACCTCGCTCTCCTCTCCCGCGCAGCGTCCAGGCTGGTCAGCTATCTGGTGCTGGGATTGAGCGCGGTGACCGACAGCTCATCAGCCCGTCTACACGGGCCGCTCATGACCTGGCCCTCCGACGCAGTGTGTCAGCTTTTCCCGGGGCGGAAGAGACTCGGGTTTGACGTGTATGCGAGTGCCATGAAGGCCACATCAAGAGGGGACCATCAAGTCTGACGCCATAAATGTGCTGGCTCAGGTTTCGTTAACTTAGATCCTACGGCAGTGAGAGTTACCTTAGACCACCACAAGAAGGAGCTGCTGTAACGGACACCCCATCCGAAGACCACGTCATTGTCGTTAGTCGACACCCAGGTCACAGACTTTGAAACATCGTGATAATAGAAGCCTGTACGGCAAACATATGTTGTCCATGAGTGTTCGTCATGTCGATGCAGTTGTCTAGTAGGTTAATATCTGACTGAAGTTATAAAAGGGATAACTAGTTCTTTTAATATGAACAGTTCGGAAGGTCTTTCGTTGGGGGGGGGGGGAGGATAGGGGAGTAAGGGAAGTGTGTTATAACTTGCCAAGCTGAGAAATTGCAAGCAGTTTTCTTGCCTCTAATTGCTCGTCTTTGTCTATTTGACTGACTAAATGGCCAAGTATAGGCTACGACAAAATTTGATATATAACGAGGCGAGTGTAGTGGTGAATTGTACGTACACTTTCTTATGAAAAATTGACTTTAGGGTACATCAACGTCACTATTCAAGTTTCCACCGTGTCAGGACGACGGGGAAGGGGGAGCGTGGGTACGCAGGCGCATTAGTTAATAAGGCCAACTAACACGTCTGCGTGTACCTCTGACGGCCTGGTTCCAAACTCCGCGTATATCATGCCTCTATGGGGGAGTCTAGAGTCGCACTGGAAAGAGGTTCCATAAAGAGGAGCAGGTTATCCAATGCGCCTTCGAAGTTTAAAAAATGGCGAGGAAATGGGGCGAAAAGTTAGCCTCTACGCTCTTCCACACTGCACTAGTTCTAGTTAAGCTGTCTGGGGACTAGGTCGGATGCAGTACCTGACGTAGCTTAAGTTTATCGTCTCTAAGGTGTCACACCTGTTCGGTCTCCTTTTCTATCTAACAAACGAACGCAGCCTGCTGGGTTACTTCATGACAACGTTAAGAGACAGTACACAAGTAAACCACTGCGAAGGAAGTCAGTGTAACATGGCAGTGAAACCGTTTAAGACTGGGAATGGGATGCCAGTGAGTCTAAAAGGTAAGGTCCATGTGACTCCTCAGGTTCCTCTCTTTCCGCGGGAGCCTTTCCACCCATGTCGCGCGTACATTTACGGGTGATCGTGCATGTGTCGATCCGCCCATAAAGTTTCTGGTGGTTAATCGGTTCCACCAACTCCGCACTGCGCGCTACGTGATTTGTGCTTTTCGATCGCTCATCAGCTGATCAGATCTAGATTACGTCCATCAGTAGGTTTATTACCCTACTTGTTCACACTTCAAATTCTTTTGCAATTCTAGGTTTATAGAATTGGGATCTTTTTTGGAATCTATCGGCTCACCACTGAGCTTTCAACACCGTTCACCAACCAGCGGTACGTTTCATCTTTGCCTGCCATAACCTAGAACATGGTTTATCCAGTGGGCACTTCTGGTAGATTACTTCACTTTCTTGAGTATCCTAGCATTCACGAGAACGTTAGTGTAGACTTTGGTGAGGTACAGTCATCCGGCCAACGTCCATGAACTTTTATTTAGTATCTCTGTCGGCCGACTTAGTCGACATAAAATTTCATCGTTTTGTTGGCCGAAACTCCAGGCGCAGACCTCCATAATGTGAAAATTCATTGAGGCTTGTTCTGCAGTCGAATTCTTCACATCTATGGTCTTTGACGTTTGTGTTCGTTAAAGCCCTGCCTTCTATGCCGAGATCTGTCTCAAATTGTCTCATGGGAACGGATTTCCATCTTCAAAATAGCCGCTCAGTTAACCGGGGGATTATCTGCTCATTGCGAGTAAAAATAACTGTCGAGCCTAGCCTAACAGCGTCCGTTGCGTGAAGAAGGTCGAGGGTTTTCGGCTCTTGGGCTAGACCTGTTATCTAGTTTGATTTTCTGCTGGAGTTAGTGCTGCTTTCTAGCCTTATGGAAAAATCAACCGTGATTAAATTAATATGGGGGGGGAAGGCGATGATGATGATGATGATGATGATGATGATGATGATGATGATGATGATGATGATGATGATGAGGAGGAGGAGGAGGATGTGCGTCTGCTGATTGGGATGTTGGCAGTGTTGGTACTGCTGCTACTGATGCTGGTGTTTTAAGACGCGCGAACTATAGTCGTCCGGCCATTCATAGACACATTAAGTTGCGGCTCGTCGGACAGCGGCTACATGGGTCGGTTGATTGTGAGGATAGGTTCTTGTAGCACCTGTATTCAAGGGCTAACGCTACCGCTCACCCCACGGGCACATCAATCGAAGACTAAGATTGTGCTGGACGACGTAGAAGCCTTATTTTATGGCGGACAACATCCGCCATGTCGCAATATCGTCATGCTTGTTGGTCATTTTACGGGTGACCGATTTTTTTAGATTGGAGCTCAGTCGTGCCTGCAGGCATTAGTACCGTATCGTCCGCACCGCTTATTCTTCCGGCCCGAGTCCACATAACCCGCAACTAGCCCTCTCTGATGATGGTTCTACTTTGCGCCAACCTTGAACGAGCTGGGTGGCCCTCAGTTGGGCCAGTTGGCGGGTCACGTCTTCTCGGGATTCTATCTTTCCTGAATGCTGGCGGTGGTGGTGTCGGTGGTGCTACTGCATCTGATGATGATGATGATGATGGTGGTGGTGGTGGTGATGATGATGATGATGATGATGATGATGATGATGATGATGATGATGATGATGATGATGATGATGGGCTGTCATTAATCTATTTCATAATTTTCCGTAGTGAAATCGCCATTTCGATCTTCATATCGGACTGACTATATAAAAGTGCAAAGCCCAACGCTAGTACGGTACTTGCGGCGGCTCATTAAAGCACTGTCATACGGGAGTAGTTGTGACTTGTCAGAAGGCATAATTTGGACTTCCGATGTTATCTCTCCAGCCTTATTCCGACTTTGTGCAAGTCACTTGAAATATTCTTGGGTAGAGGTAACTAGTAACTACTGGTTTCTAATTCCACCCTTGTTTAGGTGGTTCTTCCGAACTCTCGGATACACACCTGACAGACGTAGGGTTGCCCTTACAACCCTCGTCTACTCCGTTCTTTTCGCGATCACAAGGAACGCCCTAGTGATACCCTACTGGATCATATCATACATGGTCTACAACAGTCCTGAACACCTGAGGGCCAGCCGCATGCTGCCCAACCTCAATCGAATCTGGTTCACCGCCTCTCTCACCCTCGATGCCCTAAACACGTACTGGGCACTACAAGTTTACCCCATTGGACACCAAGCCGCTGTCTTACTCTATACTGCCGACTGGCGCACGGATATCGATCGCGCGAAGGCTCGACTACGTGGTCGCTTCCAGAGCGCCCGAAGACGTGCCATGAACACGAAATTGATCAAGTCTCTACGGCGGACTGCCTCATTCGGCCGAATTCACCGAGCCTTTTCAAGACCTACCTTCCCCTACGACTTTGATGTCTTTCCGGAGGCACTGAGCGAGCCAGAGTTCGATGATAATTCAGACACGACCACTCCAATTGACCATTCCCCCACTCCGAATGATGGTGGAAACGAATCGAGTCCAGAAGATGGGCTGTATTCATCCTCTGGTCTCGTTTTTCGGGCTCGGCCAGAACCCTCTTCCGCCTAGCTCATCAACCTCTATTTTTTATTTACAAAACTTATTTTTTCATGAATTCATATATGTGACTGCGTCCAATTAATGACTCCCACGACCCCTTAACTTATTTAGTGACTGCCCGATGCTTGCCCGCCATGCAACCTTTGGTACTCCCGTCTGTGGTCATTTTTACACTGCCTTCATCCCCCGTTCTCGGGTCCTTTGGCATTTCCTGTGTTTTGTGTGCTTTTCCCTTATGGCCTCTGGATGTTGCGTTAGTTTATTTCAACCGTCTTCACGAACGCTCTGAAGTGTAAACTTGCGATGCTACTATTTACGTTTCCCTCAATCGATCCTGTGTGGGAAAGTCCCAAGTGATATCGCATAATCTTTTGCGCCTTTACAGTTCTGTTATATCTATTAGTCGCCGCGGCAACAGCGCCTTTTCGTAATTGTGGAAATTCCTTTTGCCGCATACGGGGCATTCCGGTAACAGAGCTCCTGAGGTGGACGACGAAGAATATGCTTGCACCACCCAGTCGTCTTTCTTGGATGGCCTGAATTATCCTTGCGATGTTGTTGCAGCGAGCGCGGACTGTCTCATTTTAGACGAAATGGTGAACTTGCCGATTCTGTTTTTTGGGTTGTACTTTACGCTGTTATGGTACTTGTTATTTGGCCTCGGTGATGTTCCGTATCTCCTACCCCACTTACTTGCACTTCATACGGCTGCGATCATGCCTGATCTAGCCGGCCTCGATGATGTCCCGAACTGTACCTCTCCACGCGTGACGATCCGCAGCAGATCTGGACAGCTCAACCCATTCCCTTCGCCAACGACGTAGACCGAATACCGAAGGTCCAAGAACCACCTCCATGTCTTGACGAACTGTGTCGACCCAGGTTTTGAATTGAGCCCCTCTTCGACATCTCCAATGGGGCAGTGGTGCCGGATGGGGGGCAGTAACAGAGCTCCTGAGGTGGACGACGAAGAATATGCTTGCACCACCCAGTCGTCTTTCTTGGATGGCCTGAATTATCCTTGCGATGTTGTTGCAGCGAGCGCGGACTGTCTCATTTTAGACGAAATGGTGAAGTTTACTCGAAGGATGGTCTTCAAGCAGTGATGATCAAATACCTCCAGTTTTCGCTCGTCCTCCACGCGCAAAGCCCAGCATACACAACCGTAGAGAAGGACAGACCGGACAGATGCACGGTACACGCGAATCTTGGTGGCGATGGAGAGGTCACGTCGGATCCATAGGCATTTGCGAAGGCTTGAGAAAACCCAGCGGGCAGCATCAATTCGGGAGACGATGTCGTCCTTACTCTGTCCATTAGGTAGCAGCCGCGCCCCAAGGTATTTAAAACTGTCCATTTCTTCAAGTTGACAGCCATCAATCCCGAGGGGTGCCTTCTCCTGGTCAGGGATGCAGCTTGAGAACACTTTGGTCTTCCCAGCGTTTATGGATAAACCGACCGATTTAGCGACCTCGTTCACCCGTAACACCATAGACTGCAGATCACCAAAAATTGAAGCAAGTAAGGCGATATCATCGGCATTGTCGAGATCAGTCAGTCGGTGTCCGGGTGCAAACTCAACGCCGTCACTGTCGCGTATGGCCCTCCCGAGGATCCAGTCAATAGCACTGTTGAACAGAATGGGTGACAGGATATAACCCTATCGAACGCCAGACCGAATACCGAACGGTTGGGAAAGATTGCTGCGGACCAGAATTCTCGCAGTATTGGAGCGATAATAGGCCTTGATCATGGCAATGACTTTTGTCGGCACACCATCTAGCGCCATTATCTGCCACAGGGGCTCACGATGAATGGAATCGAATGCGGCGGCAAAGTCAATGAAGCAGACGGCCCTCGGTTGTTGGTAGCTATGGCGAACTTCGAGAACGCCTCAGTGTGAATATCTGGTCTGCGCATCCGCGTCCAGCCCGAAATCCGGCTGGTTGGGCCTCGTCCTTGAGTCACGCACAGCCTGGAATCGCCTGAGTAGGACAATAGCGAAGATCATCGCAGCAACGTCGATGAGACTTTTGCCGCGGTAGTTCTCGCATCTCGTTTTATCTCCCTTCTTGAGGATAGGTAAAAGGATGCCTAAGCCCCAGTCACCAGGAACAACCTCGTCTCTCCACGCTCGTTCAATCACCTTTTGGAGCCAGGGCGCCAGAGTGTCGACACAAGACTTGAAGATTTCAGCGGGTATACCATCCTCTCGGAGTGCCTTATTGTTGCGCAACTTTCATATGGCGTTGGCGACCTTTCCTTCAGAGGGGGAGTCGCATGGCGCTGTATAGGTAGGAGAGAGAAGAAACTCCGCTGAAGAGGAGAGCAAGGGCGAGATAGGTTGGGTATCGAAGTTGAGATGGTGTTGAAAGTGCTCACGCTAGCGCTCGACTTTGGCCGATTTGTCATCAATAAAGCCGCCGTTCACATCGCGAACAGAGTCACTCAGAGTAGAGGGCTTACCGCTAACCTGGCGAATCAAACGGTAGAGCTTTCGAGTGTCACCAATGTTCGAGGCCTGTTCCATGGATGTCGCTATTTCAGCCCAATATTGCTTCCGGTCATCCCTGGCCGATTTTGCCGTCATCTTCCGAAGTTGGCGGAAGCAGCCATCGTTACGGAGCCTGGCTCGAGCCGTCTGAGCAGAAAACTGCAGGGTTCTTCTGCTGATCCAGTCACTGCGGCGTCGCTGGATGTATCCAAGGATTTCTCAGCTGCCCCATAGACTGGAGTCTTCGGTGACGACCACTGGTTACTGACTTCTCCGTCGGCTCGGGTCGTAAAAGAGGTCCGGATTTCTCTGCTTAGGGCCTTGGCAGTGCTGGCTTGTCGGATTTTTGCGACATTGAGGCGTCTAGGACGTGGCATTTTTGGCGCGGATGAGAGATGAACTTTCAGGCGTGTACAAACGAGGACATGGTCCGACCCATTGGCGTTACCAGTCCGGGCACCACCCATCGATCTGTTTTTTGCGCTGCTGGAAACATGTGTTGGTGGCAAGCAGTCGGTTTCGATCAGAGAAGTTCAGCAATCTCTCACCCACGATTTGCTGCAGCGGACTTAACGAGTCCGCTCATTCCTTTTCTTTAGGGCGAAGACCCACTTACTTTGATTCAGGAACCCCTCCATCACTTTGAAGGGCCATGTCAGGCCAGGTCTTCACCTAGTCTCCTATTCGCTCCAGTTATATGGCGATTGTGAATAGAGGGCATCGTTGGCGAACTAGCCACGGAAAAATGCGCGAACCAACACCGTCGTCTTTTTTAGATGGCCCGAGTATTTTCACATGGTTGCCGTAACCTGTACAAATGTTTTCACTCAAGGCTGTGTTTGTGTACTTTGTTAAGAATATAGCTCGTAGGAAATGACGGTTGGGGACAGCAAGTTTGCACTCGTCCACCACCCCCACAGCTTTCGGGCGGGCCTTCTTAGTGGCCGAGTGTTCCAACGGATTCAGACACTTCATCAGGCCTACAAAAATCCCAGAACGCGTATTTTTTCGCGGTATGACAGTGTCTTTTCCCCCTTTGCTATCAGCTTGGCTGGGCTTATTTGGAACTATTCACATATTGGGGGCGTGACTCCTTCATCCAGGGCGGTGTAATTTTGCGGTTAAAGACGCAACTCGGTAGTTCCCTGGCCTTTTGCGCCTACGGGCAAACCGACTGATAAGGCAATCTTGCCCACCCGAAACCAGACATCTCAGTCTATCACCAGACGGACGATATCTTCGGTCAAACCGAGGCCGGTCGGATGGCGTCCTGGTGCGAATTTGACTTCGAGGACTTGTATAACATTTTGGAGAAGCCAGTTAATTACCCAGGCAGGATGCTGCCTGTGAGTGTTTGGCATGCACGGAACTCGTGCAGCGTTGAAACGGCAAGTAACCTTGATTACGCTCTTTGTTGATGCGCCCACAGCAAAGCGGATAACCACAAATTACTGATAGCCGCGGCAGCAGCAAATTTATCCAGATAGGCTCCTCTTGCCCCGGTGGCGATCTGAACCGCTGTGGTGCTCTTCCCAACATTGTTGTCGATGACGGGTTGTCATGCATTGTCTGGGCTCGTCAAAGTTATCCAGGTGGAATAGCTTGCCTCCCGGGAGCTATGAGAAGCACGGTTCGAATTTCTGTTTACACTGTCAGGTGGTTCTGTATTCCGGAAATTCTACCAAAATGATCTATGTCGACCATCAAATTTAGGTAGCAGAAATTTGTTTCATGGGCACCCAGCATTCATTTGTAGATAAATACCCCTAAGGTAATATACTATGTTATCTTTCGACTTTTCGCCAATTTGGTCCAGTTCACTTCCTTTTATTGCATGCTGTGTGGAAGTGGTCTTGATGGGAAAGTAGTATTTGCAAGCCTAAGGGAGCTTTATTTAGCATATCACCTAATTCATTTGCTTTAAAGGCACGATTTGCACCCATACTTGCTCATAACCTTTATCAAGTACTCCGCCTGTACCTCCCCTGGAGATCCTTTTAGCTATTTGAGATGTCCTGAAAATACCTGATGGCAAGATGCAAGGACAGGAACCTCCACAATGCTGGAGACCTTGCGCCGACTTCCAAGAAGGGCAAATATTCTCTCCTTCTAACACTAACCCTACTTCATTCCCAATATCCCTCAAATTTTACACAGGACTAATTGTGATACGGAGATCCCTACTCCCATGTCTTACTGGACCTGACACACAGAAGAGAGCAAATCTAGGTTGGCCTGTAGACTTTGTAAGCCCAAACCTGTGGGTATCTGTGTCTACTCTGGCCCGTGCCAGTCTACTGTAATGTTCTTGTAAACACTGGTATAATGCCGAAATAGTTCCCATGAAAGAATGACAAGAGGTAAATTTCGCATCAGTATTTTATGAGAAAAATCATGTACCTTTGTTATATGGGAATCTGCGCTTCTTGTGAGTTATTCATTTTCGGGTGGCCACGCAAATTTCCCATGGACACCTGTACATCATTAGCTGGAAGGTGTGCTCCCAAGTGGCCAA